CAGACAGATAGATAGACAGACAGACAGACAGACAGACAGACAAACAGAAGCAGCAGTTTAGGTCATGATGTTTTCCCTTAACATTTTTTCTTCGCATGCAAATTATTTATAAAATTAAGGATACAGATTAATACAAGTGATAGTGGAATAGGAGAGACTACGCTACACGATAAGAAGGGGGGGGATTGATAAAAGTCAAGATATTTTATTTATTTATTTATTTATTTATTTATATTTATTTATTTTTTTTTTTTTCTTCTTAATATATTTAGTTAGATAGTTAGTTGAGCAGATTGAAAATGAATTTAAAGCAAAAGTAGAAAACAATTTAATGACTAATTGACTTCGCACTTCCTTACCTCATCCTGACTGAAGAGGTGAAATTTTTTCAAGATAAATAGCAGAAAAAATTTGAAAATTGCTTACATGAATGCATGCATGCATGAATCGTTGAACGAAACAACAACAACAACAATTCGTTATAGAAATATTAAAATCCATATCAAATATATGTTGGAATCAAAACTGACTGATGACTGATGATGATCGTTCTATATCGTGCGGATGTCCTATATGATTGGAGATAGAATTGTGATTTAACGACGAGACGATGTGAAATATGATAAACAAATTTAATAAAAATAAATTGCAAATGAAAATTTTCAAAATTTTATCTTCAAAAATAATTTCTTGCTGCGTCGTCATTCTGAATGGTAGGGGATCAATTGACCTTTTCAAAGTTGATTGATTAACATAATCCTTTTCTTTTATTTGTTGTTGTCATATTCTCTGCCTTAAATCATTTGGTAAATCACAACAAATCTCTCCTACCCCCTCCTATATCTCGTTTTCCACGTAATCGTCTTCGTGTCGTTTTACCTCATCCTCATCATCCTCATCCTGATTCTCATTCTTTTTCTGAATATAATATAATTACCTTATTATCGTATTAAATTATATATAAATTTATTTAAACTTGTATTTCCTGTGATAGGATTGATTTTCGTCATTACAATACCGACACACACTTGAAATCACAATAGCTGAGGAAAATTTCTTCTTTTTTTTTCTTGCACCTTTCGCACATTTAAAATGTCACAACATAACTCACCCAAAAAGAATAGCGAAAGAAATCAAAAAAAAAAAAACCAAAACCAAAAAGAAAAAGAAGAAGAAGAAGAAAAAGAGAAAATTTGAATGAATGAAAATATTCCTTTCATCAAATTTTCTTCAACGAAGCCGAGCATAACAATAGATGGCACGTTTCCTTAAATACATGTACGAACATATGTATACATGATGGTATGTGGTGACAACAACACACACATATATATATATATATATATATAGTTATTTGAACGTTACAGGGTTAAGGTAAATAAATACATCTCATGTATAAAATGTATGTGAAAGCCATTGTTAACGTAAGTGCACAAGCAAGCAAACGGCAACAAAAAGATACAATAATAACGTTATGCAGAATAAGCAAGCAACAATAATAGCAATAACAAAAAATGAGCACAATTTTCCTCATATACACACACAAACATACATCACACACATCACACATCGCACACGCACACATCAATTTAAAACTATTTCCTGGCAGTAACAGCCACAGCAACAGCAGCAGCAGCAGCAGATAGAGAAGCGTTTTTCTTTTTCTTTTCCCATTTTTTTTTTTATTTTTATTTTGCTTTGTTTTGTTTTTATTTTGTCGTCGATAAGGATTTAACAAACACAAACGCATTTTTTGCTTTGCTATATTCTTACCTCGCAGTCATGTGCATAAATTTTGAAAAAAAAGTTAAACCTGAGATTGACGAGTTAAGATTACTTAAATGTCAATTGTCTGCTCAAAATTCAAGAGAAAAGGGTTAAATGCTGAGCCCTTAAAAACGATAAAAGGGTGTCTGTATGTCTGTCTGTCTGTCTGTCTGTCTATCGTAAGAAGTAAATCAAGATTTCTTCAATATATTTAAAGGTGCAAAAAATTGATCGAAAAATTATTAAAAAAATAAAATAACTGTTTTTTTTTACTCTTCTTCTTTCTTTCAATATTTCTTTTTAGATCAAGCCGTACGCATTAATTCGGAATACAATGCCAGCTTAAATAATAATAATAATAATAATAATAATAATAATACTAGTAATAATAATAATAATAATAATAATAATAATGATGAGAATTCACCCAGTAAATCGAGTACTACTTCGATTAGTAGTAATAATAATTCTTCATCGCCTTCCTCATCTTCAGCATCGACGTCAGCAATTATAAATTCAAATAATTTACCAAATAGTAGCAATGCTTCCGCACATCCTACACTATCGCCGGCCGAGCATGCAGCGGCAGCTTTAGCTCATCATGCAGCAGCTGCGGCCGCTGCCCATCATGCTCACGCTCATAATCAGCATCATCATCATCATCATCATGGTCATCCACATCATTTGGCCGGACATCATCCAGCCAACGCTCACAGCCATCATAATCATCATCATCATCATCATCATCATAGCAATGTTGCCGCACACGAGGCTTTCTTAAATAGTGCCACAAATAATCCAGCAAATGGCCTACTTGGCCACCCAGCCACCGGGCCCGATGGCGTACTACTCGCTCCAGCGGGCAGTGGCAAAAAGAAAAATAAACGTCGTCACGGCCGCACAATTTTTACGAGCAATCAACTTGAAGAACTCGAAAAAGCATTTAAAGATGCCCATTACCCAGACGTGAGCGCCAGAGAATTACTATCGATGAAAACTGGCCTAGCCGAAGATCGGATACAGGTAAGTCATTTCAATAACATATTTACGACCTTAGTGCATTTGTTGTGATATCAAAAAAAAATAAATAAAAATAAAAACAAGACAAGACAACTTTCTTGATTGCTCTTTGCTTTATGGCTACGAAATTGATTAGTTTTTCATAAGAACACATTAACAAGGAGTCAAGAGCGAGAGAGAGAGAGAGAGAGAGAGAGAGAGAGAGAAAACATGGCAAGCAAGCATTAAGATATAAAACGTTCCGCATAAATAAAAATTTAAAATTCTATTATCTAAACCGCTGCTTGAATTTCAAGATTGTATGCAATATATCTGTCACATGAAACACAAGCGATGCTTACGATTCAAAGGACAAGAGAATGAATCATGAAAAAAGATTTGAAAATGAATTTTTGAAGCAAAAAACCACATAAACATAAACAAGAAATTGTCAAACGAATGAATTTTAATAAATTAACAGCGAAACGTGAGGACAACATAGGACAACATTGCACTGCAACAGCAACAACAAATTTTCTTTTATTTTATTTTTTTTTTATTTATTTATTTTTTTTTTCGATCCTTTTTTCAATTAACTTGACAAGCTTGCGTATTTTCAGTCGATCGGGTCGGGTCGGTCGATTCGCGTTGAAAATGCTCGAATCAAAAATTTTTTCGCTCCTTTCCATTGCCGAAATGCTTTATAAAACTTACGATATCCTGGCATCGTATAGGGTAGTTGGCTTCAGCATTTTATCGGTTCTCGACTTGACTCTCTGAGTCACGACTATTGATAGAACGATAGAACAATTACCCGATTTTTTTGCCGAACATTTCTCTCGATCGAAATCTGATGGACTAATGCTTGCCGGAGGAGTGGCGAGCGAGCAGAGAATACTTTTCCGAGAAGATTGCAGCCCTCTAGACATACTAGTTGCGCCTCTTTATTTTCCTATCGCTTAACTCTCTAGCATTGTTATCATTAATAATACGTTGCATGGACAAGTGCTTACCTCTCGTCTCGTCATAACTTCAAGATGTTTAGTATTATTTGAATGTATGCCGAGGTTAGTTGCCGCCCATGAAAACTATAATCAAAGTCAATGATTGAGGAAGAATTTCATGCTAAGCCCTTAAATGAAGGACGTCTCCCCTAAAAGCTTGTTATATAAGTTTTACACTTTCGTTCATCGTCCGAAATATCGCGATGCAGTTTAATAGATACACCCAGAGTTTACATTGATATCCATTCAGATTATATATGCATATATACACATATATACACATAGTGTTTACTTACAAAAGCGCTTCTCTTCGCTTATTTATAATCTTTGGATGACTAATTGATTGTTAATTGTAATATTATTAGTGTAGAAAAGAAGAAGAACAAGAATAAGAAGACTAACAAAATATCTATTATATATTCAATGATGGTGGGCGAGCGGTGTACGCTTGCAAACGCAGGTACTTGAGAAGCATACGCCTATGAAAAGTTAGCCAAAAAAAGGAACAAACGCTGGCGGGCTTTTTTCTTTCTTTTTTTTTTCTTGTTTTTTTCATACATTTTCAGTTATTTGTCATTATAACAGAAATGTGCTCAAGCACAAAAAAAAAAAACAAAAAACTGAATCCAATTAAAAAATACAATTGGCACTATGAAGCAACAAAATGAAAAACATAAATATCAAACCATTATGAAGGCAGACCGACAGACCGAGAAACCCGACGGACTGACACAGACGCACACAAATCAAACAATTCAATTAAATTCAGAACAAACGCATGC